AGAGAGAGAGAGAGAGAGAGAGAGACAGAGAGAGAGAGAGAGAGAGAGAGAGAGAGAGAGAGAGAGAGAGAGAGAGAGAGAACAATGAACAATGTATTTATTATGGGTCTACCCTAGTTCTTGAATGAGTAAGCTTTGGTTGGATTTTTAAAAATAATTTTCAATTGTGTATATAATGTGTGTCAGTATTGGAGTTTATATACATACGTGCAGGTGCCTACAGAGGCACCTTAAGGACATTAGACCTGCAAGGACATTAGATACCCTAGAGATGGAGTTGCAATCAGGTGTGAGCTGTACTGTATAGGTGATAGGACCTGAACTCAGGTCCTCTGCAAAAGAGACAGTTTAACCACTGAGCCATCTCTCTCCAGCTGGTCTTTTATCCCAAGAAAAATAAAAGCTTTCCAGGAAACAAAACAGAATCTTTAGTGGTTATCACTAAAGGCAATACTTACACTTGAGTTCACAATCTAAAATGTAAGATCCCTAATTACTATTAACTAAATTTTTTTCATTGAAAATTCCAATAAGAAAACAGGCAAATATCAGGGACCACAGTGGTGCAGTGCTTGCTGAGCACACACAAAGCTCTACCTAGTACCACAATTTTTTAAATTAAATATCATAGGAAACCCATGAAAACAACTTGACTACAAACATATTGAACTCCAGATATCAGAGCAGAAACACAGAATTGTGTTGAAGGGCACCACAGTGTTGGCCTAGCTCTCCTAAGGCTGGGACTCTTGCATCAGTGAAACTGGAGACAGCAACCCCAGCACACAGACAATGCACAGGGGTTTCTGGAGTCATCTTTTCCTGGACTGACTGATTCCTTTTATGCAACTACTATTTAGACAAGACTTTCCTTCCCTATATGTAGTATTATGATTATTACATAAAGAAATCAGAACAAATCAAGGTAATGTTAATTGATTAAATGTGGTAGGTTCTAATTTCATCTCCACCACATGCAAGGTTTGTGACTGAACAACTTAAGGACTCTGAATCTCAGTCCTTTAATACTAAAATGGAGAGTGCTTCAAACTACCTCTCTGGTAAGAAGTGATCTTCTCACTGACTTCTAAAATGAGCTGAGTTCTGTTTATGACTGGCACATGATGGCTCTCTTTAAAGATAATCTTATTTGGAATGAAAACAGAGTCATCTCTACCATTTGCTCTGGGGAGGGGGCAGAGGGCTGGGTAGGGTGGGGAGATGCTCCCCTAGAATACACAAGAGCTTGCCTTGGTGTGAAAACCTTCCCTGGTAATAATGACCAAAGCCAGGTGGTGGTTTCAATATGGGCCCTAGGAAGGGGCAGGGAATATTCTGTTTTATGATTATTTAAGGAACTTTTATTTTTTTCAAAGCACATGAGTTCTAACATGGTGTCTATCAAAATAGACACCTTGTGGAGTAGTTATTGTATATGCACAAGCTTCTGCTTTTGGGTCTCTGTGCAGGGTATGTTTGTAGAGAGTTGAGCAACCTAACCAAATCAAGAGCTAAAGCAGTTATCTGTAGAGCATCAATCTGGCTGACAAATCTGTTTTGTTATGTAAAGATTCTTCTTTCAATGAATAATTCAGACTCAAACTGCATGTTGGTAACTATATTTTAAAACAAAAATTCCTCACATAATAAATACATTTTATGGACATTAACCTCAATTTTACTTCAGAAAGCTATTTACAATATAAATAATTATAAATGGGAACACTTTGTAAGATATCATTGACATAGCTATTATTTTCTACTTTACATTCCAAAGTAAAAGTTCAAATTACAAGTTTATACTACAATATCACTAAAAACTATACATTGCAAGAGGATATTTTGAACCAATATTTTCTCTCACAAATATAATCCTTTTTATAGCATGTCAGTCAAAAGCCAAGCATAAAATATTTTATCTTTCTTGAAGTGCCTCTTGTTTCTTTCTCTTTTTTGAAGTATATTCCTTTGAAAAGAAGTTACAGTTATTGGAAAAATTTGTCCATGACAATTTCATTTCTTTTTAAATGTAAACACATCATAATTATCTTATAGGGTAGAAATTTAATGTGATTAGGTGTGTCTAAGATTTCAGATTAGAACAAAGTCCTGTTATCTAGTTTTATGAAGGCAAAGTTTACACAGCAAATCCCAGTACATAAAACTACAATGACTAGTTTAAAATTATGAATTAAAGTATCTTGTGTGAATCATCATACATTCACACTGGATATAGCACATTTATAAATTCTCAAAGTAATATAAAAGTCATAGTGTATATAGTGTGTGTGTGTGTGTGTGTGTGTTCTGCACAGTCTCAGAGAAGGAATGCTGTATAAGCGTATATATGGAATTGAGTGTCATCTTACCATTTGAATTTAAGCACTACCCGTACAACCTTTGTGCACAACAAATAAGCACCACACAAAACTTTCGCCCAAGGACATTTCCTATTTATGATACACTTGCATGTATCCACAGCTGTTCTGTCACTCACTTAAAATTTAGAATGTCTTATCCACCATATATTTTCACAGTAACAGCTAGCCAGCAGATTTTAACCTACAGTGAAATCCTTACTCACAAAAATCTGACATTTACATGAATGCTCAATTACTTATTGGAGGACTTAACATTCTTTGTCAAATCATTCAGAAAACTGGATGTGTGTCTACCTCTACCACTTGAGTGAACTAAAAAGTCAAACCCAGACATCCATTTTTTAACAAGGACTGTAGCACACTATTCCAGGCAAGATAAGTGATTACCAGTGAAGTCCTCAGCTTTCACTCTGCCACTCCCAATTACTGCTACCACTAATAAATCATACAAACAGCTTAATGATTAGCTGGCTCTGATAGGGAAACAGACAGAGTGATACAAAGCAAGAGACAGAGTTATGAAACAGCAAGTCTGTATTCAGAGTGTTTCCAGCTATATCATCACTCACACAATCTAGATCTTGGAAGGGGAGACTTTTTTTGTCTTGTTTTAGAATGTCTATTCATATTTTCCAAATAATGTTGTATTAGAATTAAAGTTCACATTTAAAAAGGAAATGGAAATAGAACACATTATCCTTTTAAGGAGATCCCATTCAAGCTTATTTTAAGTGAAATTCGCTGCTAAAGGCAGTGTGTGGCAGCAGGGTGCAGACATTAAGAATAGTATTCGCTGGAAATATTCTAGCCCTATAAACTATAATCAGGAAATAATAAGTTGCTTTCTGTATAAACACTGAAGAAATTGTTTATCACATCTTGTCTGGTTTTGAATATCCTATCAGTTTTGACATAGTGTCTGATACAGGCAAGTACAGTTTTAAAAGCTGTCACATTAGATTTTGCATGTGATGTCAAAAGATTTGTGGAGCCAGAGCATACATAAATGTCTGATATACATTGTCTCTGACCTTAAAAATACATTCAAAAAGAATATATCAACTGTATGTTGTCAACAATAATTCTAGCAGAATTTTTACGGGGAAGATTGGGGAAATATATATTTCACTGGTCATCTACAATTTTAACTTTTATATTGGTAAAGGAAGTAAATGGGCATCAGAGATATTCTTATTATTTCCAGATAGATTTAGCTTGGTAGATACTAATGAACTGTGCATGCTGTAGTGATATAATTAGATGCAACAGTTTTATGAATTCCCAAAGTGGCAGAAGGAGACATGCTTCTCAGGCTTTCAAAATTTTAGCAAAGATAGGAAAATCAAGGACTAAAAATAAAGCCAATTCTAGTTTAATTTTAATTAAGTCATTGGGAATGTATTTATTTTACATCCCTTATTTTTAAGACACAGATAATAATTCTCTATGAGCAAATATGTTCCTGTACAGAACAAAATAATGTAGATTACAATACATTTTATACATCTATATGAACAGTAAAAAGGTCAATTCATTTGGGGTCATTTATAATAATCATGCCATGCTGCAAAACAATGTAAGCTATACATATTGTGAGGCATTATATGCAATGTTATAAAATTGCCACTTCAAAATTGACATTTGTTTAATTAAATAAATGACTAATGTATTTTAAAAGGGTCAATCTACCAAGATTGTTAATCAAAATATAATTTAGGAGATTCTGTCTACTTTTAAAATTTTTCGGTTCTGGCATTCTGGGAAGCATTGTTCCTCCATATGAGGCTTTGTCTGTGGAGTTCACAATTTATTATTGCATGAGTTATATCCTCCCTATTAAAAACTCTGCTGGTACTCTTTTAGTGATAATCCTCGTTTTAGCATCAGTTCATATTCCTAGGTTCTTCTTTCTATTTCTTACAGAAGGTACCTCTGAAACACTAATGTATATCTACCCAACAATAGAACCTACTTGTATAGATTTTTCTGCCCAAAATACATATTCCTCAAATATTTGTGTCTGATCTACAGAATAATCAAAACCATTATCATTCTGAAAACATTTCTCATTTTGAAATTTTACCCAAATCATCTGTGTGTTTCTCAGAAATGATTTTCTCAAAATTACTGAATATTTTTCTTATGGAGTTCAAATTTTAGTTTTCATTGTTCTTTGAACATTTGGGAAAGTATATTTAAGTACATAAGCTATTTTTTCAGTGACTTGCACCTGTGTTCACTTTCATTGATAATATTGTCTCTGTTTCTACTCACGTAGTTAATTTTACATAGCCTCGTCTCTCATGTACAAACTCTAAATTTGTTGTCATACAGACTGTCACCAAATGATTGTATTGAGTGATGAAAATACAGTACTAATCCCTGAGTGTCCAATGCCTTGTAATGCTTTCATAATCATCAAGTGCTTCCAGTACATTCTCCTCCTTAAATATGGTGAAAGTAACAGGCCTGGGAATCCTAAAAGCCTTATCTATGAAACTTTTCTAACCAAGCATGTCATTTTTTCTTTGAATACTAGAGAATAGTGCATTAAGTAAATTTTACTATTTTTTCTTCTCCCTCATAAATTTGCATCATCTACATTTGGCTCCATCTAAGAGAGAGTTGACTGCAACTCTTCCTGCCTGAAAGAGCCCACACATCATGTAAGTAACCAAGTATCTAGACGTTTGAGTGTATGGAAAATCCAGAACCACTAAGTCTTGAAAACTCATAGCAGAGATTTAACTGTTTACAAGTTTACTTCCATTGCATCAATGAATCACAGAACCATGAACAAGAACTGTCTTTAAGACCAGAAAGCCAAGTTGCAGGGACTATGAGTGATGCATCTGTTATCCCAAAATTAAATGGCAGGAAAGAGTAGAATGGAAACCCAGAGATCTTGGCAACTAATCCACTGGGCTTTTCACTATACTACATGGACATATGAGCAAGTGTGTTGTTTTCAGGGTTTACAAACAGCAAAGAAAGTCAACTTCTTCCCTATGAATTCCACATGCACCCTTTGAACCACTTATCTGTATGCCTAAGCTTTTATCTTAGACACTTTCATGAGGCTTTTCACATGACCACCCACTATCATATCTGTGCTTTCAAGTGCTTTTACTTATCCTGTTGTCCTATAGTAGTTTACAGATCTTCCTTAGTTACTTTGCACTTACCAGCAATTTGTCTGGGTGAGCTGGTTTTAAACTCTTATTTGTGTATTTTGTACACTAACCCCCAAAATGTTGTTTACCTGTTCTCAGACTTAAAAGCGGTTTTGAGATTTAGTATCATTCTATGCTGCTTTGCCCTTTCCTTCACTAAACCACTTAAAGTTGAGTAGGCTACATTTTTGTGTGTCTCCCAACATTTCAATGCTGTGAGTTAGAAAGATCTTTACTGTTGTGTCAATGCAATCTTGGTCCATGTCTAAGTCAAAAGTAAGGTGGAAAAATCACTTCTTCCTGATTGCTTATAATGGATATCAGGTGAAAATGTATTCATGTACTGTAGCCAGCACCATTTCTCTAATTGATGCCTGAACCAAAGGAGTGGACTAGTTCAAAACCACGAAGAAGAAACAGGTTTACAAGACATGTCCCTCTCTTCTTTAGTTGTTTTGGTAACTGGTATTTATTTAAGAAGCTTTATGTGGTAGGTAAGGAGAAGTACTCATTTTGTGTATTTATGCATGGGGAGTGTACATAGCAGTATGTGAATAGTGTAAGGTATATGTGTATGAATTATATTAGATTGTCTGGACACAATGTTTTCTTTCATCAGCCCTCCCAAGTGGCATATATACTCAATCTGTGTTAGTATTTTTCAATTTACATATATCTCTTATGGTTCCACTATAATATGTGGGTAATTTCTGTATTCAATTTAGCTAAATTGTCTGTGTATAATCCTGAATGTTGGCACTGTTTCATTTTGTATCATTTTTTTTTATTTCACAGGAACTCATGTCAAATAACCAGAAACTTTAACTTAGGCTTTCTCACAATCTGTGGCATAGTAAATGCTGATAATGGGGTATTAAACTATAAATAGGCTTCAGAGATCCTTGAAGAACAAAATATCTTAGAAAAAACATCAGCTTCCATTGGTTATTATAACAGATGTTCCCTTGTGTCCTTGTGCTGGGTCTGGCTGCATCCTCAGGTGGGAAGTCACATCAAAGTGTGAGCCATTGCATCCCAAGGAATAGTTTCTAATAGTTTCGCTGTCATATAAATGCTCCAGGGCATATCCAGTTAATGTATAGGCATGCTTATCAAAATACTGCCGGTGAGAGCCAAAGCAGTTTGGAGAAATGGCAGGATGGTCTCCTGCTGTCTGATGAGGAGACATGTCTGAATGTAGATAGTCTTTAGCCAAGATCAAACTGGACTTTGTAATGCGATCAGAACTGGGACTACTGATCCGAGACAGTGCAGTGGGACTGTTGTCATAGTCGTTTTCATGAGGGCTGAGCATCTTTCCCTCTCTCTGCTGGATATGGTCACATGGTGATGTGCTGGCAAGAGCAGAGGTGTGGCAGACTTCCCCTGCTGGTGGGGCCTGTTGATAGGTTGCAAAACAGAGAGAGTGTTTTTTCCCAGCCCCATTAATGGAAGCCAGTTGGTCTGGAGGAGCTTTCCTTAGCTGTAATCTGTTCTCTTCCTCTTTAATCATCTGCTGCGTGGCTCTTATAAGAGTTTCAATTTTGCTAGGTTCGTGTGGGCTATTTTGATACTGTTCAGTGCGGTATCGGTCCCCTGATTCACTAGCTGACCCAGGGTCTGGAGAGCTGACCACACTATCTTCATCCCAGTGACCTCGACCTACATCACAAAAAGTAAAAAAGTAGGTAGTATCAAAATTCACACACACATAAGTACACTTCTGTCCTAGAAAAGCAAATCTTAAATCTTTCATTTGAATGCAGTATTGGAAACTAAAAGAGACTTGTATGAAAGAATATTGACATTTGTACTAGAATTCATATGTATGTTGGTTTATATATATTCCATGGGTTTCAATTGAAGATAACATTTATAAAATGTTTCTTGGATAATAAACTTCTTTCTGGAATTGTGAATGTCAATTAGTAAAGCAGTAAAATACATTAATATTTCCCTTTGTACACATGTTATTGGATCTATAAATCTACAAATAATATGAGAAAGATGAATACAAATTTGGTTTTTGTTACTACAAAAATATTTTCAGTTGAATTTAAAGAAGACAGTTGTAAAATCTGAACTATTATATTTTAAATAAATCACTGAAAATTTTTAATAATTCTTGGTCTATCTTAAATGGTATTAAACTAAAACTCTAATGTTAGTTTTTTAATAATTGTGAATTGATGAAAATGTTTGTATATGGGTATGTGGATGTATAGATGGCATAGTTGTACAGATATGTTGTCATAACCAAAAGTATAGAAACTTGGTTATTAACAGTAGAGTAAATGTTCATTGGTTTTTAGCAAGTTGTTTACTCACAGGAAAAGCATAAAAATAAAAGGCAACAATGGAAAAAAGTTAAAATTGCTCATAGAAGTATTTGCCAGGGGACTTTGTAGATGAGGAGATGGTCTAGCACATTTGTCATGCGAAGATCAGGGAGAGAATTAACAGGGTCTTCATAATGTCACTGAGTTAATAAAATAGGAAGATTATCAAAGACTTGCCCAGATCTGCAATTAGAATGAGCAGGATATACTCTTCTTAACTCATTTTCTTTGAAGAAAGTAATTATCAAAGTAATTTACTTTGTAATTTATGGAATAATTTAGCTTGAAGAAAGTATTATGAATTATCAAGGCTTTAACACTAGTGTCCATTTTTCTGGGCTAGTGAAGCTGTGTAACCATCCCAAGGTGAAAATCCAGGTGGTTTCTCCACCTTTTTCAAGGTGATATTTTGGTTGTCATGGTGACGGGAGGCAGGTAACAGAACTTGCTTTACAGAGAAGCAACACATGTATGTACAAAGTCCACTTAAGCAAAGACTATATCCTGTCCAGCATATCAATAGTGACCTCATTGATAGACCGCTGCTGTGAGGTTACTGAGGAGAATGAAACTGCAAAATTTAAATACAACTGCAAATTTAATAGAGTTAAAAATTGCTGATGCTTAACTTCTTTATGGTTTGTAAAATGAGAAATTTTTTCTCATGTCATAAATACGCTAACACTCCCAAAATAAATACACGTAAGCTGAGTGGACTTAGTTCTTAGAATCCCACTGGTGTGAGTTTCTGTAGATCAAAGGTATAAAACCACTGGGGTCCATCACTCCAGTGTACAGCTTCCTGCTGGGGATCTGGTACCCCTCAAGTTCTTACCATGGATTCTGTGGACAGAGGTGATATGCGGCATGCTGTTCTCATAGGTTTCTCTACTCTCCGGGGAGGCCTTGGTAAGTGGCAAGGCTGCTCTAGAGCCCCACCAGGGATCTCTCCCAGTTGGTGGTGCTCCTAAGAAGTACCTGCCTGCCTCACAGCGGCCTCCCTCACAGGCTTGAGTGTGGAAGTGCCTGTCCTCCACCAGCCTGGAATGGTCCAGTGCAAAGCCATAGCAGAGAGAGCTGCGATCTGGGAACTGCCTGTAGGCACATGACACTTCATGCTGAGAGCCAGGCCTCTCTGGGTCCAGGAGCTGTGGGGAGGCAGTATCAGTCAGTGGACTTCCACCCCACTGGCTGTCATGGTCAGATTCCGATCGTTCAGTGTGGAATCCCGGATACTGAAACCAAAGGGAACAACATCAATAATAAACAAGTTAGATTTTTAAAAAATGTTTTAAAGCCTTCATTCTGCAAGTACTGAAGGTCAGATAGACCTGAGGCAGCCTAACTTTGAACAATTTAATTATCTAATACCCACACAGAAAATCCTCCTGGCTTTAAAAGAGATAAAAATAATAGCAACATCGAAGTACTAGGCACTGAATGAACTGATTTACCCCAGGTAGTTTTAATAACCCTTCAGTATAATGGCAGTGGCCCCAATGATGTGGATAAGGATGCCAAGGTACAGAGAAAAATAAATGGCCAAGACCACAAGGGAGGACTGAATAACAAAACCAAGACTCAAAGTCAAATTCTTTACCACCACCCAAATGAACTTGCCCAAATAAGAGTCCAAGAACGTTCCTATGTTATATCATGTTTTCTTTTCATGTTTTTTCCTTATAAGAACAAGATAAAAGCTAAAGCTTAAGGTACCAAGTTTCTGAGTCTTCATCATTTTGTTAAATACTATTTATTGGTTTATTTATTTTTAGTTGTGTATAGGGAGAGGTGTGGGTATGTGGATGTGAGTGTGAGAGCCCACAGAGACCAGAAGCTTTGAGTGCCCTGCAACTGGAATTATAAATGGTTGTAAGCCATCTAACATGGGTATTGGAGATTAAACTTCAGTCAGCAAGAGCAATATCAGCTCTCGACCAATGAGCCCTCTCTCCAACCCTGGACAATTTGTGCTAAACTATTAACTCTCAGAAAGCTGTACCAGGGTCATGGGGAGTACATGGCAAAATAGCTACTAAATGCTTCCCTAACTCAAATGCAATGTAACCTTGAAAGCCTTGCCCCATTTAAACCTTGTTCATAGATATGCTTCTGACATTCAGTTACACACAGGGTTATGTGGGAGGAACACAG